CATTTTCTGATCACTTATACTAGTTTATGTGTAATGTCTGTCCCTAGCCCTGGTGACAGAAGGTTATGCATCTCTGATTTCAGTTAGTCTTCTGCATTCTGTCTAACTTCATACTATTGGCTAACTACTCTTTACTCACAGAGAATTTTATAATGTTGCCATATCAAATAGTGATGTAGCCTCATGTATATAGTATGTACAGTGCTGAAAGGTGTAGTACACCCATCTCCAAATGGCTATAACAGAATGGGAGGGAGTTCAGAGATCAGCATTAAAAAGAGACTTGAAGGATGACGATTATGACCTCAGAAAGATGATGCATGAGAAGAGATGGGATACATATTTGTAAAACAACTGGTCTAGAGAAGGTAGATCTGAATCTTCTGTTCTCCATGCCTTGTAATACTGGAAAGGCAGAAAGCGTGGGTTTAGAGCCAATGTACCCGAATGCCATGTGCAATTAGACTATGGAACTGTGTGTCTCAGAGTGTGATGGAGGCAAGATTTAAAGAGGGTTCATGGATATATGGATAACAAGAACATCTAGAGTTATAATAGTTAATAATAAAAAGTGTACTGGTAGGGGGGAAAAAATCACATTTCAAGGTACTGGCCAATCTCTTTAACTTTAAGAATTAGAGTGGGCCTTTCTCAGGATATGACTACCCCTCATTTCCTTACTGTGATATTTCTTGCTGCTTCCTCTGAAGCACCTGGTTATGGTGACTATCAGAGGCAGGACACTGGACTAGATATCCAGTCTGACAGTTCCTGAGTGCATGCAATTAATGCACATAAATAAACTCTGGAGCTTATTGCTTCTGGGTGCACTGTTTGAATGCGCACCCAGAAGCAATAAATTCTGGAGCAATAAACTCTGGAGTTTATTCATGAGCAGCATGTTGAGCTGGGTCAGAGCATCCCCAGCTGGCAGGAGACCCAGGGGGTCAGCCTGCCAGCCCAGGGCTGCTCCCCCAGCTCAAAATGCTATGGAGGGGTTGACTGGGGCACGAGGGTGCTTTACTGTGGGGCTAGCTGGCCAGCAGCCCCTGCGTTGAAGCACTCTCATGCCCCAGCCAGCCAGGGCAGTATCTACACACGTACTGCTGCAGAGTTTTTTTACTCCAGAGAAGAATAGTACTTGTATTTACAAGTACCATCCTGCTGCAGAGTAAAATAATTTACTCCAGCCTAACAGGGGCGCATGTGTAGATGTGCAATGTTTACTGAGCAACTAATTAGTTAACGGCAGTCAATGCCTCATCTAGATGCATTCCCTGTTTTCCTACAAAGCTCTCGAGTAAACTCCTACTGCCAAGATAGATTCTGCTTCCTTGTGTCACCCTGCAGTCTAAGTCCAACCTGTCTGACAAAGATTTGCAAAAATGTGCAGAGAATTTAAATGAACCCATTTGCCTTCAACTAAACTGCAAAATTCTCCAATATCAGTTAAAGGGGAAACAATCATGTGTGATAAAACTGAGGGTGGCCATATAGCAAAATCCCAAATTTATTTTTACTCATGCAAATAGAAGTTCTGTGCAGGCTGCTGCAATCCTTGAGGTGTGTTTTCTGGGAGTTGTTGGAGACTGCTAGTGCATCACAGAATCCCTAGCACATCTGGTCCATTCTCATGCTTACCATTTGAGGAATTTGAAATGCTTTACATCTGTAATTGAAGGGTCAAAGATTCCTGGGAAGTAGGTATGGGGTACATAGCCGGCATATCTTCAGTTGCTCACTGAGACAAACAGGCTGAGTAATGAGAACCTAACTCCAACCTGGTGGAAGTTACGTGTCTGTGTGTATGTTCCACAAGCACTTTTATAACACTACCTCCTCTTCAGTTGTCCCAACAGAGATTAAAATGTTGACCCCCACAGGTTGACAATAAATGGGAATAGAGGCTGGGGGAAAGAAAATGAGGGACATGGAGGCTGTGGCAGTGCACCTTTTGGTGCCTGCCACCTTATGGGCTGGAAGCAGGCAGCCAGCAGGTGCTTGATTAGGACAGCCATTTTAGGGCCCAGCTGTCACAGGCTGGGCAGCAGTTTGTTGCCTGTCACTGGGGGAGTAACATCATCTGGCTGAGCTACTGCTCCTGAAACATCGTGGTGGTAAGGGCAGGAGCTATGGGGATGGCAGGAGGCTTCTGGTCTTGGGCATGACCTGAAACTGCACCCTGCTGGGGAAGGGTGAGCTGGCAGGGCTGTTTGTGGCAGAACAGCCCCCAAGAAATGCCAAGCCAGTTACCTCCCCGGTGTAAGGTGGGTAGGGGCGCCTTAACCCCAGACCCCACCATCTGGTGAGTAGTGTAGAGAGTTGTGGTAGGGGCCAGGCACCCTTATAAAGGACCACCTGAGCCCAACAGGGGTGTGAGCCCTCAGAGACCCCAGAGGGGATATTATCAGTGTGTGGGCCTGCGTACAGCAGGGTGCAGCAGGGCACCTGAAGGACTATACTAGTAGGGTGTGGAGTAGGGCTTCAGAGAATGGCACTGGGGTGTACCGAGTAGGGTTGCAAGGGTGGCTTGAAGGGTGGTACATGGGCCAACCCCAAGTGTGAAAGCATGAAACTGTTGCCCAGTGAGGGTCTAGGGGCAGAAGCAGCCCAGCGTCGGCACAAGGTTACGACACGTAGAGTAGGTGAACTCGCGGGATCTGAAGTTTCATAGTTTCATAGTTGGTAGGGTCGGAAGGGACCTGAGCAGATCATCAAGTCTGACCCCCTGCCATGGGCAGGAAAGAATGCTGGGGTCAAATGACCCCAGCTAGGTGATTATCTAGCCTCCTTTTGAAGACCCCCAGGGTAGGAGCGAGCACCACTTCCCTTGGAAGTTGGCTCCAGATCCTAGCTGCCTTGACTGTGAAGTAGTGCCTCCTGATGTCTAGCCTGAACCTACTTTCAATCAACTTGTGCCATTATTCCCTAGTTACTCCTGGTAGTGCTCGGGCGAACAGGGACTCTCCCATTTCACGCTGGTCCCGGTAAGTTTATAGACAGCCACCAGACCCCTCTCATCCTTCTCTTATGGAGGCTGAACAGGTTCAGGTCCTGTAGCCTCTCCTCATAGGGCCTGCCCTGCTTCCCCTGACCATGCAAGTGGCCCTCCTCTGGACCCTCTCAATGCTGTCCACATCCCTCCTGAAGTGCGGCACCCAGAACTGGACGCAGTACTCCAACTGCGGCCTGACCAACGTCACATAGAGGGGGAGGATCACCTCCGTGGTCCTGCTCATGAGGCATCTGTGGATGCATGACAAGTTGTGGTTAGCCTTACTGACCACGTCCTCACATTGGGAGCCCATGTTCATCTTGGAGTCAGTAATGACTCCAAGATCCCTTTCTGACTCTTTGCTGATGAGAAGGGAGTTCCCCAGCCTATAGGTATGCTGCTGGTTCTTTCTGCCTAGTTGCTGTGTGGTAGTGCTAGAGAGTGAGTAGTGAAGCCCAAAGGGGTTGCTCAAAGGGAGCAATGGGCAGTAGAGAGTGGCCCAGTAATGGGCAGAGTGCAAGAAACCCCTGTGAGAGGGGGGCAGCATGAGCGAGTGTGTGTGAAAGAGGCCAACAAAGGACTGAGTTTGTTCCGGCCTCTGATTGGGGAGCAATACCAATCTGGATGCCATCTGCTAGGCATGGTCCATGGTATAGGGAAGGTTTGGAGCTGTGGATAGAGCTCCCTGGCATTGGGGTAGTGAATGGGCAGCCTCCCACTTAATATATCATGATAACATTCAAGTCATGGTGGGCAAGTCAGGGCAGACTGCCCTAGGCAGGCAGATCTAGCCCTGGGAAGGCCTCCTGTCACAAGGCACAAAGAGATTCGAGCATATGGTGAAAAGGGAGGAGTACAGAGGGAAGGAAGAAAGAGGAAGGAAAGGGGAGCTTTATATCCAGTTGAAATTACAAAGGTAGGGTGTTGGAAGAGACCCATTCTGGCTGGGGTCAGTTTGGAGATGTTCTGATGTGAGGCATTTAGCAGGTGCAATCCCCTGTCACTTTGGGGGATGTGACAGGGAACTTTAATAGTCATGAATGGTTAGGATTTTTGGGCTTGTATTTCAGCAGAAAAAGATGGTGAGGGGAGAGAAGAAAAGAAAAAAGGGTCAACAGTACAAACTGTGGAAAACAGAGAAAGAGAGAGAGAGACTGGGAGAGAGCAAAGGGGATAGACAGAATTTGTTAATCTTCCTTCTCTACTGCCATCATGTTTCCTCTCCTGAAAGGCTAGAAACTAAGTGACGTCAATAAAGCAAAAATGAAAATGAAATGCACAGAAGGCAAATTTCTTGGAAACTGCTTCAGAAAGATAAACAGACGCAAACAATGTCTTCAACAGGCACATTTCAACACAAATGCACAAAAGACCAAAATGTTTCTAGTTTTTTATTATTATTATTAATATTAATATTATTATTATTACATAGTATTTTATTTGAGTCCTAATAAAATAAAATAAACACAAAATATGAAACACTTCTGGCAGAAGGAGCCTCTCAGCCAGTAAACGAGGGCAGGATCAGGGCACAAAGGGAACAGAGAAAGGCAAGTAGGCAGCAATGAGTGAAACATCTGCTGGGTAATGGGGAGCCAGGTCTCTGCCAGTCTCTTCACCTGCTAACACCTTTTACATCACACCAAAGAAGGAGAGAGGCTGAGAGAGAAATCATGGGGCACCCTAAGCTAGAGAGCAAGTACGAGGGAGCGAGGGAGGTTTGAAGGAAAGTGAAGTAGGCAACAAATCCTGGATTCCTTCATCTCCAACAGGAAAGTCCAGAAGCCTTTACACCCATCCCCCCACACTATTGCAGCCACATGTTTGTCTCCTCTGGCATATGGCTCCCACATACCTCAAGAGCCACCTGGCCCCATAATGTCTTTCTGTGTTCATGTGGCCTCTGGCCTCTCGACAGGTCTGCATGATGCCCATTCCAGGCTCTCTGGCCTCCAAAGAAAGTGAATCAAAGTAATGGAGATGGGGCCTTGCGTCTTCTCTTACATCAGCACTCTGTCTGCTGGATCTTCCCTTCCTGGCCTCCATCCTTTCCTCCATTTCCTGGTATGGGAGCAGGAATCTCCCTCTCCAGTGCTGGGAAGTGGGGGGAGCGTACCTGGAAGGGAAAAAGAATGAAATGTCATGGACACAGCGGAGGGGAGCTGGACCCCATTCTGTCTCAAACCCCCAAACCCAACATCAACTCTCACCAGCCCCAACGTGATGTTCACATCTTTTGCCTTGGTCTAGTTAGCTGTGGACCTCTGGGCATCCACCTCAGGCCACATCACTCAAAGGCCCAGATCATAACAAAAAATGACCCCAGGGGCACTTCCCCATGAACAGGAACATGCATTTCCCCTGGGACAAACAGCAGCAGCCCAAGGTGTGTGGCACATTACCCTGGGTGCATGGCATGTTATGCCAGGTGGGGTAAGGGAGGCTGGGGCCAGCAACTGTGCTGGCCCCCGCAGCCTTACCTGGGGTTCTGGGGGCCTCCAGGAGCTGCAGCCATGGCAATCCTGCAGCAGGGAGCCTGGCTGGCAGTCAGAGTGCATGCTGCTGCCACGTGCACTGCCCCACTTTTTTTAGGCATGGGGCTTTTTTGACCACAAGATCTCCCCGGGGTCAAAAAAACCTTCAGCACTGCAAGGTAGCAGTGTGGGGAATGACTTCATGCGCAGTGTGTGGTGCCACTGATGGGTCTGCAGTGCCACATACTGCACATCGGCGCTCGTCTGGATGCACCCAGGAAGTCTTCAGTCCATTACTGCCTGCTGTAACCCACTACACTCTTCTTTCTTCCAGCCAGGAATAACATTCAGGAGTCCTGACACCCAGTTCTTTTGCTTTACATAATTTGTCTTTAATCTGTTCCTAGAGTTGAGAATAGAATTTAGGAGCTGTACCCTCCTGTCCCATTCACTTTCCTCTAGGACACACTGGCTTGATGTTATGCTTTATGCAGTAGCGTTTGACTGGAGAATAGGAAACAAAGCGCCTATATTTATGAAGTGGGGGGGAGAGTGATCCAGGCAAAAGTATTGTCTCAGTAGTATGAAGTAATAGTATTGACCTCAATAATATGCCATGGTTGAAAAAAGATTTTGAAGTAAAGAGTAACTAAAGACATGAAGGGGAATGGAAAGTGGAATAAAAGGCAATGTAGGTTTATAGAAGACAGATTATGCCAGACTAGCTTGATATGTTTCTTTGGTAATTTGTTCTTTAGACGAGGGAAATGTGATAAATATAATCTAACTGGATGTCAATAAAGCCTTTGATGCAGTGCCATGTGAGAACGTATAGGTAAACTAGAGAAAATAAGGATTACTACAGAACTGTAAATTACAAAAGGAGCTGGGAGATGGCAGAAAGTTGTGCTTAAAGAGGAACTATCTAACTAGAGAGAGGTTAGTAGAGGAGTTCCTCAAGGTCAGTTTTGGGAACAGTTGATATTATATAATAGTTTCTGTTAATGACCTTAGCACAAAAAGTATGCTTATGGAATTTGGGTATGGTGCAATTTGGGAGGCATTACCTATGTGGAGAAGGATAAAAATATCACACAAGCTAACTAGCTGGCTTCATAGAAATAGGATGTGTAAGGCCATACACTTAGGAACCAACAGAAAGAATTCCTGCTATAAAACTTAGGTTCAACGGTTGAAAACAATAGAAGAGGAGGAAGACCTTAGTGTATTAAGTTGATAACAGTATGACTATGAGCCACCAGTGTGATTTCCCTCATGAAAAAGGGAAATGTGTCAAATGATGGTTTAGATAAGGTATTCCTATTAGAGATAAGGAAGTAGTAATACCATTATGCATGATAGTGGTGAGGTGTAGTGTGGAATCCAGGGCACAATGCTGATCACCCACGTGCAAGAAAGATTAATTTAAACTGGTACAGGTACAGACAAGAACTGCTGGGGTGATCAAAAAAATGGAGAGCCCATCTTTTGAGAGGTAACTGAAAGATCTTGGCATGTTTAGCTGAGCAAAATGAAGCCCAAAGAAGGACATGACTTGTCATTAAACACATCATCCGATTAAGCATCCCTGAAAGAGGACTGTACTTAAGTGCCAGGGGTTTGGAACAGGCTCCCCCAAGAAGTGGTACAGTCACCCACTCTGGTGATCTTTATGAGGTGTCTTGATGCCCACCTTGCTAGGCTCGTCTGATCCCAGCGGTCTTTCCTGCCCAAGTGCTGGGGGGCCGGATCTGATTATCTGTAAGGTCCCTTCCAGCCGCTAACATCTATGAAACTATGAAGCTACTGGACAATGCTGGCACATTACCAGAGGAGTATAAATGGACCATGAATGAATTTAGGCTAGAAATGAGAAGACTGCTAATCATGGGAGCAGCAAGGTTTAGGAACAGTCTTCCAGTAGCTGGAGCAAGAGACCTAACCAGTTTCAAGATGGAAACACATCCGGTTATTAAAAGAATTATTTGACACTGTACCTGTGATAGCAGAGGACTGACTTCATGACACAGCAATACCCATTTCTGTGTTCTTATAAATTATACTTTGTGTAGCTCCTGTCAGAGATTTTAAGGCCAGAAAGGGCCATTATTATAATCTGGTCTGGTATATTCCTTAAAGGGGCCATAGAAAATCGACAGGAATTTCTGCACCAAGCCTGTGACTTCTGCTGGAATAGGTGTATATCTTTTAGAAAGGGTGGCTGTCTCAATTCCAAGACTCTATGTGGTCAGGAATCCATCCTGTCCCTGGGTAAATTGTACCAGTTGTTTAATACCTTCATTGTGAAAATTGTGCACATTCTCTGTAGCTTGTTTTTGTCTAGCTTCAGCTTCCACTCATTGGATTTTGTTGTATTTTGTCAGCTTAAGTAAAGAACCCTCTACTATCTGACATTTTCTCCCCATATTGGTGCTTACAGACTGTGATCACATCACCTCTTCACCTTTAGCAGATAAGCTAAGTAGAATAGAGCTTCTTAAGCCTCTCATGGAAAGGCAGATTTTCCAGACCTCAGAGCCTTCTCAGTACACTCATGAGAATGATTCCCTAGATTCACTGTTCTCACAGTCCTGATCAGCTGCTTACCAAGTGTCACCCATTTTGCAATACACTAGTTGAAAAAACACTGTTCTTCAAATATCTCAGTCTCATTTTGAGGGTGTGACCTCCAAAAGGTTCATAACAAGTAAAAGGGCTTCCCCTTGAAGGTAGCTAAATGGGAGGGAGGTCCCAGGTAAAAGGGAGCAACATCCGAGCTAAAAATTTGCCCAAATTCAAAAATGTGTACGTGCTGCTGTGGTTGCTGTGTCTTTAGCCCCCATTCTCCTCTCTGGGCCAGCCTCTCTGACTTCAGCACATCACATATGATGCACTATGGTTGAGCTTCCATACAGCATTGCAGTAATTTTATGATCTGATGCATACTGAGAGAGAGTCAAGCTGTGGAGGCATAGGCCAGAGAGAGAATGAGGACATGAGGTGTCATCTGAATGTTAGCTGTCAGGAGACACAATGGTAAAATTTCCAAATCCAAATATGGGGCTTTGAGTGTTTTGATTTTTTTTAAACAAAAGTCAACATTTCCTAAGAACAGCCTCCTTTTTGTGAAATATTTTGTTAGCTGAAAACCCAGTTTTCAATTAGCTGTACTTAGGAACCCAATCTACTTTCAACAGCAGCTTTGGGTTTTAGGAGTTTAAGGCCCCTTGACTTTCGGTGAATAATAAAGTGAGCAAGTCACTTTTGAAATGGAACTTAGGAGATTTTGAAAATGTTTACATTTCCTGACAAAGGGGATGAGCAAGGAAGTGACACAACATGTACAAAATAAACATGATTTGAGCTAGTTAAGACAGGAGAAGATGGTGGGATGGAAATAAGATATTTTGAAAGGCTTCTATCTAAAGAAACTTCAGACTGTGCTGTTTAGAAACAAGAGGAATGGGAAGAGTTATCCTGGAGGTATGAAAAATCCTGATGAGGTTTGAGGTGCAAAGTCAGGATGCAAAGGAGCACCATTTACATAATACAAGGACAAGGTGATAGCCACTGACAATGAAAGACAGTAGATTTAAAACTGACCAAAGGAAATGCTTTCTACACATTGCATACACTTGTGAAACTGCCCCAGGATACCACAGAGTCCAGGGGCTAGCCAGGTGTCAAAAAGTATTGGACATCTACATGGAACATGAGGACATGCACATTATTACATCTGAAGGAATTATGAAAATGGAAAGGAAAACAGAAGAGCACTCACAAAAGCTTGAATAGGATACAAACACTCATCCTGTAGGGCACAAGCCAATAAGTAAGTGAAAGGCATTAGAAAGAAACTTTCTCTGTAGGGAGGCTATTCCATAACTCTTCACGAGTATGCCTCTTCTTCTGAGGCATCTGTTCCTGGCCATTGCCAAAGACAGGGGACTGGGCTGGATGTACCACTGGGCTGAACTAGTCTGGCAGTCTCTGTGTTCCTTGTACACACAGCTGGCAGATAACTCAGTGTAACTCCCTTGCCATGTAGTAACACCAACCCCATGCTTAACTGGCAAGCTTGGCAAGGCTCTCCCTTATTCATCCTAATTCTTCTGCATTCATTCTCCTGCCAACCACACTTTTGACACCTCGCTGCTAGTTCTGGATCCTGGGAGATACGAAGGGGAATAAAAAGTGGTTTGGGAGATCTGGGATAGACCAAGAGGTAAAGAGAGGGGACTCACCCTTCGGTTCCACAGGGCCAAAACCAAGGCGCAGGCCATAAGCAGGAGGAAGATGAAGAGAAGGAGTCCAAAAGTGACCTGTCCACCCAGGATGGGAGGAGGCCCAGAGACCTGGACATCTGTGAGGAGATGCAACAATTAGAAAGGGGAAGGTTTAGAGTGAGACAAGCATGGGACTGTCCAGAGGTGGCTGACATGGGAAAGGAAACAGGACAGGTTGGGGAGAAGAGGTGGGGAGCATAGGTTGGCACTAGGTTAAAACGTGATCAACGCAGGATGGTGTAGGATGAGGGGGGAGGGGGGCCACAGGGAAGACAATACCTGTAATCTCCAGCCCATACTCCACTGCTCCCAGTCTTCCTTCTGGGCCATGGATGCTGCACTCCCAGGTGCCTGTATCCTTCTGTGATACTCGGGGTAGTTCCAGGGTGGAGCCCAAGAGGAAGCTCTGAGTCCCCAGATCTCTGGAAGTAGCTTCAGCTGAGTTCCTGTTGCTGTAGGCAGAGTCTATGTGTCTCCACTGAAAGTGCTCGTGCCCTTGAGGATGGGTGAGGCTGCAGATGAGCATCAGATGGGAGCCCTCAGCCACTGGACCCTTGATGCTTGGGGTGACTTTGAAGAGGGAGAAAAGAATGTGATCAACAAAGAGAGTAGGGCTTCTGTCAGCCTACCCCTTCGCCTCCTCCTTCCTTCCTTGCCAGCTTCCTTCTTTTTCTCTCTCAGACCTTCTCTCGTTTCCTCCCTCTTTCCCCTCTCCTTTTCCTACTTTACCACCACAGGAAAACATCCCTGTGACAAGGAATTCTGTACAAAGGAAAACTGCTTTCTAGACATGTTGAGTAGTGACCCAGGGTTTCTCCCTATGGGAAGAATTGAAAGGCCTCAAGCAGCTCTAGTGTACCACACTGAATATGCAAGGAGATTTTCCTCCAGGTCAGCAAACATCCCTGTATGGAGGTGCTCCTTCTTATTCTCTGGATCCTCCTACTCACCCATAATAATGGCCAAAGTCACCTCCTTAGTGATTGTTGTGCCGCGGATAGAAACATCACAACGATACTGTCCTGCATCACCAGGCCCCACCTCAGGGACATGGAGAGTGAAGTCTCCATTCCTGGAAGTACCCGAGTCTCCCAGATATCCTCCTGCGAGATTGCTCCAGCGGGCTTTCACTCCTTGGATGCCAGAGGCATTGGGATTGTGGTTCAGAGTGCAGGGTAGGTTTGTGGAAGAGCCTGCTGCTGCATAGACAACAGAAGAGGCTGGTCCAGAGAAACCTGAGAAGAACCAAGAATGTCCTACAGTATTAGGTGGTGCAGGTCCCCTGAGATGCCACAGCAGAGGATGCTGTCACCTCCACAGAAGGAAGAAGACAGACGAGCCAGGCTCAGGTAGTAGGGATGGTAGCAAAGAGAGAGGAGGGGGCTACTCCAGATAAGGGGGAAGATGGAAAAAAAAGATATTGTGAAAGGAAAGCAACTACAGCAGAGGGACAGCGTAGCAGCTGAGGCCAGGGGAGCTAGACAACCAAGGTGGATGCTGGGCTTACCTAGAATTTGCAGGTTGTATGTGGCAGAAACATTTGCGCCATCTGAGTAGGCAAGGTTGCAGCGCCAGGGCCCCATGTCACTCATAGTCGGCCTGAAGATAGACAGAGCCCCACTGAGGGAGAGAAATCTGCCAGAGGTCGGGACAAGGCTGTCATTGTGGAACCACTGAACTCCCACAGGTTTGCCTGGATGACTGGAGTTACAGTGTAGCCAAAAAGTCTCTGTTTCCACCACAAGGCCAGGGATATTGACAGTCACTAGGGAGAAGAAAGGGAAGAAAGAAAAGTTAATGCCATAGCCCTAAGTCCTGAAGCTATTCCCCTTCCGGGAGCTCTCCACCCCTCTCTGATGAGTATTAGCGGGCAAGATCATCTGTCAGAACCCAAGTTTCCTGTGTTTATCTCTCAGAGGTCTCTCTGTCTGGAGGGCTCTGTGCATGAGAAAGTGATAGAGGAAGCCCCACAACCTCAAAAGGCTGCTTCTCATTTTCTGACTAGCAGCCGTTCTGGCCCTGGGCACCCCATGCAGCTCTTTCTTGCAGACCTAACCCATGGACTTGGCTACTCCCTCAGCCCCCCATTGGGCTCCGTCTTCTCCTACCTGTCACCACACCCAGCGCCACCTGGCAATGTAGGGTCGCTGTGCCGTATCTCACCAATGCCTCATACTGCCCTACATCATCCCTCTGCAGTGGCTCAATCCGAAGGGAGAAGTCCCCATGGCGGAGGTCGGCATTCTGGACCATGGCTCGAGGCATCATGGATCGGGCCGTCTTTAGGACACCACTGTACTCCACCTCCAGCACCATGTGTGTCTCCTTGTGGGCTCTAGGTATGTGGGCAAGGGAAGTGAGTGAGTACTTTGAGTAAGGGTGAGGGAAGAGGTCAAGGGATAGGGGCAGGACCACAGCAGAGCAGGGGGATGGGAATCAAGCAGTACATGTGAAAGAAGAAAGAATGGGGAAAAGGTGAAGAAGGGGAGCAGAGACTGAGCAAGCATGGGTCCACAGAGGGCACAGGTCCCGCTGCCCACCGTTATTCTGCAATACCTTCCTCCATGCCGCTCCCAACGGACTGCAGTCTTGTGATACAGCATCTTCCAGCTATTCTTCAGCTCTTGAGGACTGAGGTGACAGGGGAGCACAGCCAAGCCACCCTCTTCAGCCCACACCCTCTGCTCCCACCTCCACTCCTCTGCTGCTCTGGGGGACACGATCTTGGCTGTTAAAAGACAGAGAAATGAGGAGAAAGTGGGGTTAGAAACAGAGTGATGAATTCTCTTCCTTAGACAAGTGAGTCCTGCCCGGTGGTGTGGAGGAGCTGAAGGGAGGGACAGTTAGGGAGAGAATTTGAGACCAACTGGAAGATGAGGGAGGTAACAAGGGTTCAGATCTAATTTTCTAGAATCCTGTGGACAAATTAATTCCTAAACACCCCTACTGCAACCGCTCTCCACCCTCAAACACCTTAGCCCACTTACCCTTGGTTACCAGCAGCGTAAGGGCAAGAGACAGTGGAAGGAATACCAGTGTCATGGTGGCATCCAAGTGTCTTCACTCAGTTCAGTGCCAGAGCAGGTCCAAGGTTTCCAGAGATGAATGAAAACAAGTCACAGACAAACAAAAGAGTAGGGTTATGAACCAGGGCTGGGGTCAGTAGGGCTTTATTCCTTGTTGGCTTGTTCTCTCTCTCATTTCTGTTCGTCCTCTCTCTCTCTTTCTCTCTCTCTGATCAAAGCCTTTCCCCTTGTGCCCTTATATTGCAGATGGGCAGCTAATTTCCTCACAGCACTGAGAAGATGCGTCACAGCCAAAAACCTAGCTTCAGACTGAGGCACGTGAAGAAATAGATGCAGATAGAGCAAGAGAGAGAGAGGAGGCAGAAGTCAAAGTTCATGTTCTAAGCATCTTTTAGTGGAAACTCTTTGGGTCTTTGTTTTTTTTTTCTTCACTGTTTCGCTTCTATGTAGACAGTGGAAAATGTGTAGAAGACACTTCCCAGCAAGTGCCCTTCATGTTTTTCTTTCATCTTTTACCTTTTTTGGTTTGATCTTTCCGCCTCTCACTGTTTCTCTTAATTAATTGCTTTATTCTTTTCAAAGGGTCTTGCTCTTCTTTCCATTTATGTTCTTGTTCTTTTATGTTACAAATTTATGTTTTGCTTTGTTTTGTTTTTTCCCCTCCTTCTCTTTCTGCAACTCATAGGCAACAATAAATAAACAGAGCTGCAGATGCCAGGTTGGAAAGGAAAATAATCCACAGGAACTGAGAGATGGGAACAGGAAATAAAATAATCCCCAACCAGGACAAATGCAACTAACAGATCTGCATGCCTGGCACTCAGTAGAAGAGAGATGATCAGTGGGGGTGAAGGGGGGGGCTAGAGAGGAGCTCACTATAAAATACTCTCTACAGAAAAAAGTCACGGTGTTTTAGGGGCTCCATAGAAAGCCACTCTGTGGCTCACACTTTCCAGTTCCCACTGACTTAACTTAATCACTCATTACCCCTTCCCCGTGACTGCTGTCAAACTTCTGTACCATTTCAGGCTGTGCACACACATATTCTCCACTGGTGAGGTGGGGCCTTTCCCAGGGGTGAGAGAGGGCAAAACAGCAGAGGGGCACAACTGCTCTGTTGAGAGCTTGCTCTTTTTCTCTCTTTACCTCAGCTGAGCAATAGAAAGGCAGGAAGAGAGATACAAAGAAAAAGAGAACGTGCGGGGAACTGTCTGGGCAATCGCCCCTAACCACTTAGAGGAGTGCCATTGGAAGGTCCTTGGGCATTTGCCAGCACCTGGCTTTGCCTGATTTCTGCTTGTGGCACATGACACTGGGCTCCATATAAGGCCATATGCGGGAAATGGCCTGTGATCTATAGGAAGTCAGGACAGCATGATCTACTGGTCCCTTCTGGCGTCAAATTCTACGAAGCCCATGAAAGAGTGCAAGACAGAGAGAGGGAGGGAGGAGAACTTGTTACTGTAAAAAGTAGCAGGTGTTTTTCCTCTTGTTTAACAAAAACAGTCCGTGGTGTCCACAGTCCAGGCAGAGGGTACAAATTTTCCTTTCCACTGAGTCAGCAACAAGGGGATGTCATGAGCGTGTGGGTGAAGGTGAAAAAAAAAGGGAGGAGGTCTACACCGCAGCCAGGAGACACTTGAGAGTCACGCTCAGTCCCCAGCTATCCTGTCCTTCTCCCTGGCCCCATTCCAGGGATACATTATGGATGCTGCTCTCTATCCACATCCATTGTCTTCTCTCACCTCTCCCCACCATCATGCTTCTCACTCTTGCCAAACTGACCAGGATGTTAGCTCCACACTTGAACTTTGGAAATGTTATTTTCAAATGAAAAAACAAGGACAAGCTCAAGTCTTTCTGCCACACCTTGGGAAAGTAACACCAGAGGCTCCAGGGGCTGGGGCCACTGCAAACAGTGACACGGCCACTGCTGCACAAGGGGATGTTTATGGTTGAGGGGTTATTTTTGATGAGCAAGTGTGTTGTGAAATTAAGGTTCTGATGGCACTATTTTACTCAGCATCAACTTCTATCTTTAGAAAAGTTGCCTTTAACGTTTTTCTGTAATGACCCATTTTAAATGCTGACTCCATTGAATGACGTCTTCGTCATCTCCCAGCATAAGACCCCACAGGCACAAACAATGACTGGCATAAAGTCATCACTGAGGTACGTCAGCAGGGCAGTGCATAAGGGTAGGTCGGAAGAGCTGTGGGGAGCCAAGAGCAGGCTAAGATTAAAATAGTAGGGAGCTGCAGGGCAGAAGCCTAAATCATGAGAGAGTGACACATCTATCTTGGGCACTAACTGCCCAGGTTTTAGACTTCTCCATAGCAGGACACTTTATTAACAACTTAAAGGCATTATCTTTTCTATCTATTGGCATATTTATAATACAGCATATATCCAATTTGTGTTCTCACCATGATAAGCCACTACCATGACCAAGTTTGGACTTTTGCAAAAATTATCTGGCAGAGTCTGGCAGTTTCAGCACCCTGGGTCACATTGGTGGCCAGACTGGAAATGGTAGTGGCCACCATTCTTCACTCCCTCAAAAACTGATGCCTGAGATTAGTGTCTCTATTGTCCATCCCTACTTAATTCCATTTTAGCTGCGGCCCTTTAAAAAGCAGGGGAAATGGGATTTAAGACCCTTTGTGTTATATACAAACTAGAATGCAAAAAGCCCTCACAGTTTGGGAACAATTAAACTAAAAAAACAAGTGATCCTTTTCACAGATTCAAGGGTAGGAGAGACCATCAGATCATCTAGCCTGATTAACAGAGGTGTAGCTGGGCAGCCATGCGACAGGGAAGTGTTGGCTGCTGTGGTACTGATTGCAGCAGCATTATCAGCCTCCACTGTGGTCATGACTAATTTTGTGCTCCCCTCCCTCCTCCGACCAAAAGACAGAGCCCGGGGCTGCTGCCCCAGTTGCTCTCCCTCAGTTATGCTGCTGGCCTGACAGTCTGTATAGTGCAGGTACCAGAATTTCACCTATTTATTCCTATACCAACCTCAACCGCTATAAAGCATCCTTTTGAGATACTGCAGTAACAGAGGAATGAAGGAGTATGCACAGAGTCACCAAGCAAGGCTTTTGCAGAGCGAAAAGAGAAATAAGCAGCACCTCACCTCTCATCTTCACTCTCCAAAAATACGGTGCCTATGGAAATTCAGGCCCCAGTTCAGCAAAACACTTTAATGGGACTTAAGAATGTGTTAAATGTAAACAAATGCAGGTCTCATTAAACACCTACCTAAGTGCTTTGCTGAACTAGAGCCTAAAGAGAAAAGAATAGAGAGGTTTTTAAGTGAGGCCCACAAAATTTTTAAAAATCATTTAATGAAAACTTTAAGTTACATAGGTAAAACTTCTTTTAAACATTCTAAATAGTTAAAAATAGTTATGGGAGTTATGTTTTATATTATATTTTAGTTACACTTCTATCCTTCCACACTCACTGAAGTCAGTGGGCATGCAGAACTGTAACTGAAAGCACAATTTTTGCCAAAGTTCTTACAGCCGTATTGGTTCCTCTCTCTTGCTGTGTTGTCTTGCATATAATCCACCTCTGAATATAACACCCACCCTGTTGTTAAAAGTATATCTATATGTTTTCATGGACCTAGCTCCTCATATCCAGTACTCACCACAAAGAGACAGCTTCAAAGCATAATGATCCAAGTTATTAGACCCTCATTCTGGTTCTTTAGGGAGGTGTTCATAAGAGGCATACATGCAGGGATGCTCCTGCTGGGACTTCAACCTGGAGATTCCTGGACAGAGGGTCCTGCCTCCCTGCTCAGGGTCAAACTGATTGCCATGGGCAACTGGTGCCACCTTAGTCAGGGGGGCACGTGCCCCACCCCAGCAACCAGTCAGCAACTGAGGGGGAATCCCCCTCATGGCCAATTGGCCGATCTCACCAACCAGGGGAAGAGGGGGTGTCCCCCACGGCTGATCACGCCAACCGGGAAGCGGCTGCGCCACTCCTGGAAGTGGCCACCACACTTCATCCTGGTACTCCCACTCCCCGGTCGGTGCTTGCAGGGGGGGCACTGGTGCTCCTGCTTGCATTCCCCTGCCCATCACCTGAGTGGGGAGCGCAGCCTGTCAGGGTGCACCAGCGCTCTCAGGGGGTGCATGTGCACCCCTGTGCACCCCCTACGCATCGCCACTCCTGATTGCTATAAATTTGGGGCCAGGAAGGAATTTTACCCAATGGTCAGACTAATACAGACTGTGAGAGAGAAGGTTGCCTTTCTGTGCAGCAGAGACTGTGGCCCTGTTCTTTGCATCTCTCGATTGTATTTTAACAACCCTTGCAGCAGCAGGACACTGGCCACCATTGCTCCCTGCTTTACCTGTGCCAGGTAAGGGTGTTACATCTTATGGTTGTGCCAGGGTTGACCATGTAGTTTTTCTAATAGATTAATTTGTCTAGGATGTTTTAGATATGGATGATCTTGCCTCAAGCAGGGGTTGGACTAGATTACCTCTGGAGGTCCCTTCCAGCCCTACTTCATTATGATTCCATGATTCTAGGTGCTCTTTGCTGAGATTATG